GTTTATGCAGTTGGGCTGCATTCTACCTATTTCTCTCAACACTCATTGTCCATTCCAATCAGGTTGTGCAATTCATTGTCCCTGCTCATAAACCAAATTCATTTCACCTTTACTCCATTCCCATGCTATTCTTTTTACCTGGAATATTTTCTTTTTTTCCCCTTTCTCAATCATATACATCCCTCAAGGTTCAAGCCAAGTCCCGTAACTTCATGAAATCTATTTCTATCATCTGATTTCCACATGGATTATCTTGTAATAGTAAGCCCTGCATTTGCTATTATTTATTAAAGACCTCTTGTGTTCTGGACACTATTCAAATCATTTTACAAAAATTATTCCATGTAATATTCAAAAAATTTAGCAGATACGTATTATTATTTCATGTTTAGTGAAACCAAAGTAATTAAAGAGTTTTCATCATTATGTGGCTAATAAGGGAGAGAAGAGAAGAGTCAAACCTATGTCTGTTTAACTGCAGTTTGCCATGAGTTTTCTCTGGAAGCTGAGAAAGGAGATTCACAGCAGGAGTAGATGAGACTCAGATAAGAAGGAAGTGTGGAATCTGTAAAAACCCTTCAGAAAACAGGATCTCCCCTACTCCTAAAACTGCTGTACTATGAACATATTGCTTGTCTCGTAACTGAACTTTTTTGGTACTCCCAGCTGAAATTTGCTCTATAATTGTGCAGAACTTTAGACCAAATATTTCTCTTCTGGGACACACATTCTTTTATTCGTTTGCATCCATTTTCTCAACTACTTTGTGTTTTCTCTTGTTGTATTGGATGCATCTCTGTCCACTGCTACAAATCTGTTTAATAGTCTTTATATTAATAAGACCATAAAATTGCTCTTCGTGTGCTGAAATCATTATCCTTTATTTTCTAATGGCAGTCCTAGATTTGTGAAAATTTAGGTAGTAGCATTATTAATAGGAAAAACTACCACCAACAACTAAACTTGAAAGGTAGTATAGCCTAGTGGCTAAGAGCACAGTCCCTGAAGTCTGACTGACTAGGTTCTAAATCTTGCTGCATTTATTAGTTGTGTGACCTTGGGCATTTTTAGTTAACCTTACAGTAGTTTCATTATCTTATATGGAAAATGAAGGTAATAGTAGCCCCTACCCTGGAGGGTTGTTGAGAGGAGAAAATGAGCTCGTGTATATACAGCACTTTGGATAGCACCTGGTATATAGTAAGTTTCATGTATGTTGTTGCTCTTGCTGCTGCTGCTGCTGCTGCTGCTATGGTTTTTGTTACATAACAAATACCTTTTCCCCTTTGTTTATTCGTTATTGCTTTTCCTAAAGACTACAGTCACAAAAAAGAAGAAAAAAATTAGAGAGCATACAGTGAATGCAGTAATGAATGATCTTTTCTACTTAAGTCAGAAATGAAATAAAACTATCCAAAAATTTCCATGAAAATTACCCTTTGTCCAGATTGGCTACCCTCTGAGAACCCCACTTGATTCTCCATATCAATCTTTTGCTTTTTTGTGCTACCTGAGTCTGAGGTTTAGTCTTTAAATGATGAGTTTAGACAAATGTCATTATGGTAGTTTTATATATATGACTCATGTTGCCTTATTGATACTGAAAAATCTCCACTACAGCATGCCAGTGTTTGAAAGAGAGCCTTGGGTTCTTCCCCAATACTTACCTTCCTTTTAGGGCAACCTATCTGAATCCTGTAGCTTGACAGGTTTCCTACCAGCCTGCCATCCCAAAGGAACATGGATGAGCTATATTTATGCTGATGCGTCAAATCATTTCTTGGTATGGTTCCATGTGGTATGGTCCACATGGCTCTTGTAGACAAAGAGATGAACTACTGATGGCAGAATTTCTATTCTGGTAGCAGGGAAATTTGTAGAAAGGAGACCTTTTCAGTGTGAACATTTTTTGCTCACAGGTGGTCCAGGATGCCCCATGCTAAATGAGAAGTGAAAAGAGCAGTCAGAATTCAATTTTTCATTGAGAACAAATCAATCCACGTGGGTAAACATTTTATCAAACTCAAGATTGCTGTCTCTCAAGGTGCTTTTCCCTCAACAGTCACTTATTTCCTCTTGCAAGTAGTATCTTCGTTCAGGTTCAATGACTACTGTATATTATGTCCAATGCTTCCAGCAAATGGGTTGGTGGTGACAGCCCAAGATCTTCTAGAATCAAGAGAATTGGATCCACTTCCGAGTTCTAACACTTATCAGCTATGTGACTTTTAGGCAAGTCAGTTAAACATCCAAGTCACAGTGCTCTCATCTGCAAAGCAGAAAATGTGATGTACTTCACAGAGCCAAGGGGAAGAATGACTAAGGTGGTACACTTGTACGTGATTTGTAACCAGTAAAGCCCTTTACTGTACACGTGTCATTTATAGCTCTATACCACCATCATGACCTAGAAAACGAGTACTGACAGAAGACTTATCTTCTTGCCAATGCTAAGACAACTTTAGCCATTTCTGCATTTCTAAAGGAAGGAGTCTTTATCCCCCTATCTATGAAGACTTAGCAGGAATTCCCATCAATATTTAGTTGGTAATATAAACAAATTAAACAAAAGTGCGCACTAGGTTTTAGGAAAATTAAAGACAGAGCTATGGTTTGTACACCTCTTACATTTCCCAAAGTGCTAAAACTAGACAGTAAATCAGTCCTCAATAACTACTTGTTTATCAACTTTGTATTCATTTATTTGTTGATAATACAACAAAGATGTCTATACGCAGTATAAGACACATGGCAAAGATGAAAATTAGCAAATTCGTGAATCAACATTCTATTTATGCTTAAGAAGACAAAGAAAGTGTTGGTGACTTCATGGTATACATAACCTTAAGGAGCTCGTGATTGAGCCTGGGTCTCTGCTATCAATGTAGGATATAAAAATTCAAATGTACTATCTTTCATATGTATATTAATATAGTAAACATGGAAAACTGATGCTACTAATGAAAATACTTTATTTTGTTGAACAACTAAAAGTTTGTCTTTAATCCCCTAAGTGCATACAAAAAGGAAAGTGTTGTACAAATCAAATACAACAGAACAAGAAAAGTAAAAGACAAGTGAAGGAATTTTCTGGAACTTAGATCTGGTTGGCTTTTTCTTCTGAAGTACTTAGATAAATTCACTCAGTTTTCTCTTTTGCTGAAGAAGTGCAAATTAGGCAGGTGTGTTATTCTATGTAGGCAAAAGGAAAAAAGAAAGAAAAACATAAAATGGCTATCTATTTGACCAAACTTCATTCTGCAAGCATCCCAATACTAACCTTCTACCATATAAACTAGTTTCAAATCAGGCTATATCCTTCCAGTACAAACCTGGTTTTGATGGGACAGAGATACTACTCAGTCTGTTTCAGTATTTCCCTTCTTTCAACTTCTGATGTGGTTCTATCCATATTCCCCTTTCTGTCTCCCAGTCAAAGAGAATGGGACACAACTCTCTTTAGAGTCCATCAGTGATGCTTTAGCTGCCAAAAATAGTGACAACAGACATTCATTGTCTGTCTACCTTACTTGTCTAAAATTCAGAATTCTGCATCTTAAGAGGCTGTGGCTGAAAACATGAGCCAGTTCTTCAGAATTTCTAACATGTTATTTCTGCCACTTTCTCCCTTACTTTAGCAGAGTAATTTAATTCAATTTGAGGGGAGGGGGGAAACTTTTCTAGTTACACAGATCAATCCAATTGTTTGGAGCTTCAGAGTGAATTTTTAAACTTGTTGAACAGAAGCATACAAATCTCTAAGAGCAAGTCAGATAATGTACAAAGCCTCCATTCATTGTGTAGGCAGAAAGGAATGCTGGTACCCAGCAGCTCTCAAAGGAATGTTCCCTTGGCTTTGACTGTTCTGCTGGGAACAAGGAGGGAAACACATATATAAAATGAATTTATAATGTCTCTGGCTTGTAATGGCAAAATGATAAGAAAAGTTGGCTGTTTAATATAAACTGTCAGTTGCATATTCCAGGCCTCCTCTCTTTGAGGTTCCTCCCACATCCACACGCCCGGCTACTGTTTAGTGCAGAGTACAAAGTGGCCGTTTATTATTATTGACTGGTGAGGCCTGTGCTCCAAAATTCATTCTGTCAACAGAATGTAAGCAAAGTTGGCATTTTAAAGCAGGGCTCTTTCAGTTTCTGGGTTTTCTCAGGATTGCTATGCAACAGGATCAGTGCTGTAGTCCTCGGTTCAAGCTGAAAATGTTACACAGGAAGACATACCATGTAAAGGTCAGATTCTTCTACTATAATAATTTTCTTGATCTGTGTATATACAAATGAGGTTGAATGCATAACCTCTTATCATAACTCTTACCAAGGTCCTATGTACTTTCCACCTGTCAAGCCTAAAAATATGTATTAAATGGGAAATCATAACTAATAAATGTATGATGCTGTACTATATGTATGATGCTATAATACCAAGGTGAACTTAATGTGTGTTGTCAAGAAGATTCTCTCCCCCATGACAGACTCCCAGGAATGTGCTGGTGCTGTGGACCAAGTACAATCTTGTTTATTAGTCTCTCCACGCTTTTATGGTCAGAGTTAACTCTACAGACTACTACGTGAATAGAAAATATGACTTGATCCATATAGTAATGAAATTATTGGCACTGGGGTATACTTTATCATAGAATTTTATTTCCTATCACTTCCATAAAATAATACATTTTGTTCATAGACTAGAAGATATAACTAGTGAACTTTATGAAGTTATAAATATGTTACTTTCCAACTCATAATGGCAAGGAGTAAATTTATTACACCTAATAAGATGCCCATTTTAAATCTACATAATAACAGGTGAAGGCAATACGCCAAGAAAAGGAATTTAAGATGTATCTTCTTGTTAGTTAACCTGACTGAAGTGTCTTTTGAACTAATAATTGTTTAATTTTTGCAATTCTCCAAATTCACATTCATCACTTGCTTCCTTTGTTTGGTAATTCTGCACATATTCTTCTTCCTGCTGTCCTGTAGGACCTCCAAGGTGAAATTGAAGCTCACACAGATGTTTATCACAACCTGGATGAAAATAGCCAAAAAGTCCTGAGATCCATAGAAGGTTCTGATGATGCAGTCCTGTTACAAAGACGTTTGGATAACATGAACTTCAAGTGGAGTGAACTTCGGAAAAAGTCTCTCAACATTAGGTAGGAAAAGATCTGGAGCAAAAAGGCCAAAATGAATTAAAATGGCAAAATTGTCCTCGTTGTCTTAGCACAAGTAACTAGTATCTCATATGTCTATGTAAATCATCCAATTTCAGAATGATTCATTTTATTTTGAATAAATGAATCATTTATTTGCTTGGTATGGAGATGACACTTGAGGATTCAGATTAGATTAAAATGGTGATGTTTTATAACCATAGGCGACATGGATATTAAGACATTAGAGTGAATTCAAATGAGGAGGTGCAGCTATTCTAATTTCATAAATTTCTCTTTTGGCATATCACAGGGTTATACAAAAAGCGATAACAAATTAACGGATATTATGGAATTATTTTTGGCATTAGTCTAAATGCATACCAGAGGACAGTCTTTAAAAACTGTAACACATTATAATTAACAGTTTAGAGGAGATAGCTCCTACAGTTAAAGAGAGACTATAGCAACTTCCTGTCTTTTGCTTCCTCTCAGATTTTGTTAAAACACCTCCTCTGTAAACTAAGCTTTTAGTTGTACTATACTCACATACTTCATATTTTGCCCCCTTCTATGTGCCAGCTTTCTTTTGAGAAGTTAGTTAATGGATGCATCATAGCATCTTTGTAAAAGGGGCAGAGGGAAGTTCTTGTTATACCAGTTTTGCAGTAGTTCCGTGGAGGAACAAAAGGATAGAGATAGTAAAATGCCCAGTGTAACTTAAATGATCCAGCAAGGGCGGGGAATGAAAGCCAGTCTTCCTGCTTTCTAAGCAGTTGCCTTTCTTAATTCATTTCTCTTTATTAAAACTATTTTGTGCTTTCTTCTATGGCTAGAGAAAAAGTGATAGTGAAGGGAGGTAGAAGATGACCAAATGGACTTAATAATAGTTATGGGAGTATGCACTAAAGGGTGGGAGTAGTTACTACCTCTAGATAGAAAGATTACAGAAGGGAGTTTTTTTTTCTTCTTTATAGTTCTTCTAACTTGTCCAAAATTTTAACATATATACTTCTATAAGGAGGAAAATCTGAATTTTTATTAATTCAGAAGCACTATTGTAAATGTCTGCATCAAGTATGAAATAATGGTGGCAACTAACGTTTACATGATGTACCTACATACCACGCAACGCCATAAGCACTTTCCATTCATTGACTGGTTTAATGCTCTCAGCAACCCTAAGAGGTAGATTTTATTGTTAAATTCTTTTTACATTTGAAGAAAGTGAGGCACAGAGAGGCTAAATAACTTCCTTAGGGTCACTTAGCAAGTGGAAGATACAAGATGAAAACAGGGAGTCTGGGCCAGGTGGATATAACTAACCATCAAGTGGTTTAGAAACTCTAAGAGGCCAGGTCATTGAATGTTAGAATGAGTCACTCTGGCTGGGCGTGGTGGCTCACGCCTGTAATCCCAGCATTTTGGGAGGCTGAGGCGGGTGGATCATGAGGTCAAGAGATCAAGACCATCCTGGCCAACATGGTGAAACCCCGTCTCTACTAAAAATACAAAAATTAGCTGGGTATGGTGGCACGCACCTGTAGTCCCAGCTACTCGGGAGGCTGAGGCAGGAGAATCACTTGAACCTGGGAGGCGGAGGTTGCAGTGAGCCGGGATCGCACCACTTCACTCCAGCCTGGGAGACAGAGTGAGACTCTGTCTCAAAAAAAAAAAAAAAGAAAAGAAAAAGAAAAGAAAAAAAAGAAACCAGGGATTCTGACTTCAGAGTCTGAACTTTTAACCACCATGCGATACCATAGCATATAAAGAAAGAAGGAAACTTCTACAAAGAAATGCATACAAATTGAAAGGATGGAATAGAGAGTAGATTTTTTCTAGGAGTAGAAAAGGATTTGTTTTTATGAGAAGTAGATTGCTAGGAGTAGAACAGAGTTTATTTTTATGTATAAGGTGTTTTTTCTTCTTTCGCCCAAGTTTGCACCTTGGCTTCCCAGACTTTGTTCCTTATCTCCCTATTTTGTATATGAATTTTGTATCAACTTGTTGGTGGTACACTGAGAGCAACAATGGCAATAGCATTTTCAAAGATAGGGAGTCTCTGTTAGCTTTCTACAGCTTAAACTCTTAAGAGAGGTCAGTATGTGTGATGACATAGGCCACTTTCATAACATTCGTCATTTAAAAAGAATGAAAATGTGCGATAGAAGAAAATATTGGCAGGTAAAGTTAAGTTATTCTTCTCTGCACAAAAGAAAAAGAAAGGTGCTATAATTGTTCCGAGTATCACTGAGTGCCTTTTCTCTCCCTCATGTGAACTTGATAAAATAAAAGGAGAATTAAAAGTGGCAAACAGCATGTCAGCCAAAATATGAACCCTTCATTCTCCGCAGTTTCCCATGTGTCAGCTACCACAGTTTAATTCTTGCTGTCATTAATCAGGTAGAAAACAGTTACCTTAGCTTATCTAAGGTGCTGTGAATTCTAGAATTTAAATATTCAAATCAGTGGTTTGGGCTTTTATATAGGCCTCTCTAATAATACAGGATATGTTATAAGCACTCATAAAAAGCAAAGAAGTAATTCTCCACATCAAAGCAATTTAGCTTATTTTCTGACACTTGATTGAAATTAGGGTATTGGTCAATCTATAGCAAAAGGCAGAGTTCAATTGAGAGAAGTATAGTAAAGGCAGTAATTAGGGATGATTATGAAATAGTATAGAATAACACTGGAAGAGTTAGATATAGAACCATTAGTGGCACTGATAAACCTGCTTTATGAATCTTGTCACTTCTTCCATGGGGGTTATTTTAAAATGAAAAGTTACCACAATTAAAAAATAGTTTCCATGATATCCTGGAAAAATAGTCCTGTGTTTGCCCAAGTTATAACATATTATAAAAAAATTACAGTTGGTTCATTGTTTTGTGAGGGATTCTGAAACTGCTCTTATATTTCAAAAAAATAAAACCATTAGTGCTTTATTACCCAGGTGTCCATTTTTAAAGAAGCAAAATTGAATTTGAATCCAAATGATTTTGAAGTTTCCCTTTGCATTCCATTGGCTCGTAAGAGATATTCTTGTGCTTCCAAATACAAGTCCATATTGTATCGTTTTCCTTCCATTTATTTTTCTTCTGCCATACATCTTTTCTTTTCCTGTGATTAAAAGTCTTATTTAGGTCATCATGTTATGCCATATTGATACATTTACAAGAATACTCTACCTTGGACGCTGTTTATATCATATTACTCTTTTGTTCAAAGCTTCCATCTTGTAAATCTCCATATCTCCCTCATTCATTTATTTATTTGTTCATTCAACAAATATTTAATGAATGCCTGCTATGTACTAGGCACTCTTCTGGGCATGGAGGATACAACCATGAATAAAGCATACACAAAAAATCACTGCTCTAATGAAGTTATATTTAATCATTAGAATCTAGTAGGCCCTTCACTCTCTGCCAACTGTGCCTATTAAGTCCTTGCTAAGCCCTTCCCTTCTCTGTTCTTTTTCTGCCTCCAGTTCCTTTCTCACCAAGTGTCATTCTATTACTCCCCAACATAGATTCTCTGAGCCAAGAGAATCAATAGATTCTATTTTCTAACCGCATTCCTACTCTCCAACAATTTCCTCACTCTCCCATATGAGTATGTACCCTTGCTGGTTCTCACACTTGCAACATTCTCTTGCCTCTTATTCTCCAAATTTTGATTCATATTCCATAGCGAATCTTTTCTTTTCTGGCTGTTTCCTCACTAGGTCTTCCCAATACTATTCTAATTTACGCTTGATAACATGTTTCTCCAAGTGTTCAAGAGTTGCTTTATAGGGCTATGCTTACTGCCTCCAGCTAACTTATATGAATACAAAAATTTCAAACTTGAAATTTGTGAGTATGGTAGAGTAGAAAGACATGAGCCAGCAGCTGGGCAACCCAGTTTCCCTTCTGTTCTGTTCTGTCACTAACTGTCTAGTATATAATCTTGATCAAGTCACTTAACTGCTTCAGACTTCAATTTTCTCCCTCACTGAAATGAAGAGTTTGACCAGAAACCTGAACAGTCTCTTCCAGTTCTCCTGCAGTTCTACAATTTTATTCTTTTAATTCTGCAATCACACTTTATGAACCTGGAAAAATTGTTTAATTTTTCTACCTTGGTTTTCTTAATTAAGATAGAACTGATTAATCTAAAAGGCATTGTATAAAGTAAATAAGATGTCTTTGAGAGAAAAGAAATTTAATCGAAATTGTATAATCCTATCTCATAAGTTAATTCAAGAAAATTATATGCTGTCATTCCACATGCATTATCACATCACATGTTGGCCAAGAGGTATAAGGAAGAAAAGTAAGTAGTCAGCGATAATTTAAGTTCCATCAAATGAAACAAAAACATTAACTGCTTTAAGTGGGCAAAAAACAAAGAGAAAATTATTTACTTAAATGTACACACACACATACACAGTTACTAATGACATTACCCAATATTAAGATGGTAATTAGTCAAAGAAAGTGCTTTTCATTCTAAAATTCCATATCTACAATCCTTGCATTTTTAATTTTAAAATATTAATAACTTGAGAAGTCAATTTTTTAATATAAGAAATATCTATGAAGATTTCAATTTCATCTACTACTAGTTTATTTTTCCAGATCATTGTATATACTATTAACTATGAAAATCACATAATATGTTGTCAACATAATTTCAGCAGAATTTACATTCTGTGAGATTTTTTATATTTGGCAGAAAAATTTGTAAATGTTATATAAAATATTGACATTTATACAATTCTGAACATTAAGAGGCAAGGACACTGACATTATATAGTCTGTTGAAGCAATAAATCTATTGGGGAGTACTTGCTATTAGAGGTTAGAATAGTTAGTGTCTTTTTATAATGGAGAACAAAGAAAGGGCAAAAAGAGGTGGGGTCTACCTTTGAGAGAAAAATGCAACTTGGACATTGAATATCTCTTACCTTCTTTCTCTCACTTCTAGAATGCTAATTATGTTTGAATGTTGGAGTT